TGACCTCACACTGTCATACTTCACCACTCCACAGTTCTCATCTTACCTTTTCTGTACCTTTGTGACTGTCTGTCGGTCTCTCTTTTACATCTGTGAATCGCTCTTCTGTTCCCCACCCTTCGACTTTCTGCTACTTTGGCATTCCCTCTGTGAGGCCCGAAGTCAGCTAAATGGCTAATGTCTTCCCTCTGTGAAGCCTGAAGTCAGCTAAATGGCAAATGATAGCTATCAATTTCCCTCTGTGAAGCACGAAGTCAGCTAAATGGCTAATGATAGCTATTATAACGCCTGCCAGGAAGTCAGCTAAAGGGCTAATGATAATTATCAAAACGCCTGTCATTTGAAATAAACTAATAAATAAATTTACAGCTCTGCTTGTCACAAATATTATTCTTGGATGCCTCTAGATGGAGGCCTTAGTTAAATATCTAAGCTCATATGATAGTTCTTACCACGTTTTCTCAAGTGAAAAAGTAATTGAATCATTTGATAATTCATAAAGGGATCTACTTCTCTCCCACTCTGTAGATTCTAAAGACGCGATTCCTTGAAATCATCAGCTTGAATTGTCCTCGAGCTCACAGATTTCCTGATTAATGAAATATGATCTCTTACCCAGACTACAATTGATAAGACCAATGTAACCGATTTATTTGTGGCATATAGTACCAGGCTGAAATTCAATTTTATGAGAATTGTAGAATATTTCACATTTAAAAAATTTAGACTTGTGATATCGGAAGAAAACAAAGCACTTAATATTATCACATACAGGGACAGATAATATTATTAGAACGAGAAGATCTTTTAATATTCCAAATTGTCAACAAGTTACCTCTAAGAAAACACTTCAGAGTGCATACCTTAATGAGATTATTCTATTCTATCTTAGAACAGACTAAAGATATTGCATAATGACGCTATTCGCTATTTGCAAAGCAATATTTCATATCTTCTCCAATCGCCTTATTATCTGAACACAGTGTACTAAATCATAGTGTATTCAAAGAGTTTGTATAGAAGTGTCGAATTTAAGAGAAAAGTCTACTATCTTCTGATTTACACTAGATTGATCTATAAAACTGGAAGAGAAAGGGAAAGCCTTGTTATACCTTTGTCAGTGTAATCTCACCCAACACGAAATTCCGATCATTTGGTGTCCTAAGTGATCAGCACCGGAGAGCGTTTGATGCCTAACCTGTTTGTAACTCCAATGCAATCGTGCAATAAAATTGTTGTATAGAATTCAAGCTTGGCTGAACAATAGACCCACTCATTTCCCACTAGTCCCGTCTTATGCGTTCTTAAACAAGGGCTCATCAACGGCACATGGATCACAATCTCGGTATGGTTGATCCAAGGTAGCTCTTATATTCACTAAGTCTACCACAACCGCTACCATTATTGACAGATTCTTCCGAGAAGCAAACCAGCAACACTGTTTCCAGAAATAAAACCAGCCACCTTTTACTCGAATTGAGGACTTTTGTCATGATTTAAAGATCTAACGTTCAAACTCTCTGAAAGATCCCAGTGGCAGGGATAAACAAATCCTTGACACTATGTAAAGGAAGTGTTGGGGTGGGGTGGGGTGGGGGGGGGAAGTGAAGGAGATTTTTTTAATTCACACGTTAGGTACCGTACGACGGATTATGTTGCAATTCAAATATGAATTCGCTTCCGCAACGATCTCCATTCTCGAAAAGTAACCATATCTTCCAAAATAAAAACGGTTCCCTTCGTCTGCCTTAGAATCCTGGTACTCTGGAGATTCATGGGAATCATGGATCCCATCGTTTCTCCTGTCCTTAAGTGAATATAGAAAAACTTTCACCGGGAGGCGAATCATTTGATCCAGGAAGAATCAAATTAACAAATTATTATTATTAAGTATTTATAAAATTTGTGTATTTGTTCAAATATGCTAAAAACCAGTGCTGTTGCTTTACACAACTTTTTCGAGGGGGGAGACAGAAGAGTGATTCAAAGATGTAAAAGAGACAGACACAAAGGTATAAAAAATGTGAGGGGAGTACTGTGGAAGTAGTCAAATATGACATACAGTGGGGTGATGGTAGCTTGAAGTGAGAAGTCAACCATCGATTAATAGACTTTTTTGCCGTATGAGCTTACGTTGCCCAGGTCACATCACGTGGAAGTAAGTCTATCACACACCCCTAGTTTAGTAATAATGAAACACGAAGTTAGATATTAAGCTCGTTAGGTAAAATGCTTATTTACTTTCCTCAATTAATTTTTAAACATGGTAATGTCAGAATTTTAGACCAATGACATTTTATCTAACTATTCTATTGGCGAATATACACTAATTTTAGAACATCCAGGCTTTTATCGTAATACCACTTTCGACGTTTAGAAGAGATAAATTTGGCGTAGCTCCAAAAGCCCATTTCGAATGAAATCACGAAATTAGGACATTTTCGGACAGTAATTAGCAAACTAAAACCATTACATGAGTTCCGAATTTAAGTGAGGAAGACCGCTGCTCTACGTACTTTCTATTTTTCTTGAATCAAATTTACTTCATTTCGGTATGAAATATCACAATGGGAAAGTGTCAAGTGAGTTAAAAGTGAATAGGTCGGTGCCATACGAAATGAATAAAAGCTTTAAATGGGTCAATTAAATAACAAGTCCCACCAAAGATATGAATTTGATCAAAATATTCAATTATCGTTTTCTTTTTAATCCAAAATGAACGGAAAAATCCGAGTGACACCGAGGGTCACGTCGTAAGATGAGGAGGTAATTTCACCTAATTTTATACAGCAATAGTGAATTAGAAGCGATTAAAGAAAAGAATTGTCAAAATTGAGGTGAACAGCTGTACTGCATATTTCTACTTTGCTAGTCTATGTCAAATGATCACAGTTTATGCTCACGGTGTTCGTGGAGTACCAAATGTTACTTAAATGTTTTGAGTACAACATATTGAGCTTAAAAATTTTCACATTCATGGCATCTTCTTCGGCCTAGTAGAGGGTGGAGGATGGAGGGGGGGGGGGGGGGGGGGGGGGGGGGGGGGGGAGATGGATGAAAAGAGAGAGAGAGAGAGTTGGCAAGAATGAGGCGAAATTTAAATGTTAACACATAGACACAATGATGTCTGTCCTGTTCACTTAGTTCGAGGAGTACCAAATAGCAGTTAAATGTTTGGAATCCAACATATGGGACTTTGGAATGTTCAAATTCATGGTATCTGTGAACTGGGAGAGAAGCGAGGAGAGATAGAGCTTGCAACTATGAGGTGAAATTTGAAAGTGAGCACAGAGGCAACAATAGCTGAACCCCATAGAATGGAATAATGCTTTGTCCTTATCACAGGATCTCACTTGATGATCCAATAACGTGAAGTGGATGGTTGCAAAACTGGCCAAGTTCTGTGAAGTTAAGTGATAGGAATATCCAAGAGTTTAACTTTATTAATTACTAACTTAGTGGGTGCGTTTCACACAATTCCTACCTAAAATTATTCCCCCATATGATATAAACCAACAACAGAGTGGTAATTATTCTACTATTGTCAAAGTTTGATGAAGTTCAAAATGTCATCTTTATGAGTTCATTTGCGCTTTCGCATGCGTCACTCATATGAAAATTTTCACAGAAAGAGTATATTATGCACTTATTAGTTTTCAACAGCATACAGAGTTCTGATGTTGTCACAGTGAGCTGATTCCAGAAGTTTATGTGGAATAATTCAATTAATTGGTTTTTGTAGACCTTAAATAAAATTTGCTTACAAGAAATCTTTGAGCTTCGATTTATCATCTCTGCATGCCTGCACAATTACATCAAAGAGTTTGTTAAAATTTTTTGCGACAGTTGTGTAAAGTACCAAGAAGTGCCAAATTGTGAAGAGTGCAAAATAAACTAAGTCAGATACACAAAACTTGATTTAAATTCCAATGATTTGTTTAACCGACGTAGTGATCGCGCTCTGTTTGTCACAAAGATTAATCGTGGACGAATCTCGATCGAGATGTCAATTCCTTTTACGTTTCTTCTATTGAAATAGCAGTTAAAATATTTGATAACTCAAGAATGGAGTTACTTCCCTACCCCCTCTGTTGATCCTACAAACGTAATTCTTTAAAATCATCATTTTAGATTATCCGCGAATCCAAGGAGTTCCTGTATGATGTAATATGACCTATCAGTCTGACTGTGATTGATCTTAGTAATTTGTTTATGGCTTAAAGTACCACACTGCAATTCTATAGGATTCCCGAGGGTTGAATTAACTGCAATCGGGAAATAACAAATGAGGCCCTACACACGAGATAAATGCAGCAATTGAATAAAACCTCGAAATAAAATAAAACCGGTCGAAACTACGTGATTCTTATGCACGAGAATGTGCGAAGTAAGCGAAATATCCACTAATTAATCATCAGTGTTCACATTCTTTTACATGCAAGCATTATACTTAAGAAGAATAAAAAGAAATCATCTGAAGCCTATCTTTTGGAATTTTTTACTAAAACGGAAAATGATGCATTAACAATCCCCTATGTCTTAAGCAGAGAAACCTTGTACTTGCTGCCTCACAGCATACCAATATGTCGTGTTTGCGTAAAAGTTGAAGCATAAAATTTCGCTTAACAAATTGAGTGAAAAGATTTGCTCTAATTGAATGCCATACAATCAGGACAATAAAAGCATGAAGATCCGATTTAATTCGACCAAACTCATGACAAACATGAGCAGAGCGTAAATTTTTTACAAATTCGAAATCCAATGATGATATAAAGCCAAGACTTTATTAGGTCACGTAAGGTGCCTTTGAAATAAGCCTCTCTTGGCGTTAGAGACCAGCGATATCAAAGGAAAACAATGCACTAAACACTAACACACAACACACACACATAGTTTCACCAAAAGGTAAGATTGAGCCAGTAGAAGGAATAAAGTGAAAATAAACTAGAAGAGTGAATGATTACACGAAGTCGAATAATTGTAAAAAAATGAGATCGTTTTTAAAGGGAAGCTGCCGGTAAAGTACCCAGCTCTCCATTGCTATGGACTGCAAACGATTTCTTTGCCTTCTCGTTGATTGAACAGATGTGCTGAAATGGTTAAGTATACATTATTCAACACCTACAAAGGTGGTGCAGAGTAAGGATAATATTAGACAAACAAAGCAAGAATCCGTGTCTTTGATGATATAATTCAACAGAAAGAAATTAATTCAATCAAACTATTCCAATGTAAAATGGATGTATGCAATATAGATAAAAAATAAATTTAAGAGATGTGAGTAAAAATAACTACCAGCAAATCACGGAAGCACTCATTGTAATCAATTGCATATCCAACAATGAACTCGTCAGGAATTAGAAAGCCAATAACTGCAAAAATGAAAATTATTAAGATAAAGAAGCATAGATGAAACCTAATTAGTAATAAAGCTGAAATTACAGTGAGGTCGGTAACCGACGTTGAGGCAAGTTTGTTTAAAGAGGAGGCTACATGAAGTAAATCGACATCCATTAGTGCAATTAAAAATGAAAGGGAAATCGATAAATTGAAACAAACCAGCATGTTTTAACAGTTTTGGCACCATTCTCGTAGAGGTAATCACAGAGCCTATTCAAGGTTTTTCCCGTATCACAAATATCATCAACAACGAGGATATGCTAAAGGAGAAAGTATAAAATAAATAATATACGATTACCTTATTATTGACCGGCATAGCATTGTCAATTGATCGGATGTTAATTTCACCGGAAGTAGTATCAGTATAACTTTTGACTCGAATAAATTCAACAGTAATGCTGAGTTCAGTTTTTCGTGACCAAATAGTTCGTTGCATTTCTTCAATTAAGTCGGAGAAAAACTTAAAACCACCCTTGAGTACACACATGATTGAAACCTCCTTTATTCTCTCACGCTCATACGACTCAACAATATAGCCAGCAAGACATTGAAGCCTAAAAAAATTATTTTATGTAAAACATACCGGTCTTTGATCATTCCATTTGAAACAAGCACCTTGTCAAGGTAGGGAGCATATCGCTCGGGAATGCAAAACGAAGTTACTGGAAATCCTTTAAAATTGACACTTAGCTGAAATCGTGCTATGTTAGTCATTAACTTACGTCAACGGGTTCTAAATGCTTATCATCCATTGCTTATGAGCACAGACCTAGGTAGAATGAACGCCCCAAGTGCAAACCAAAACCGCGCTTAGACTCAAGGGCAAATAATGTGATTGGTTTAAGTTCAAATTCTATTCGACTGAATTATCCGTAATTATTGTTAAGGTTAGGGTTAAAATAATATATTGATTTATATTTAAACATATTGGGAAAGGAATGTAAATTGAGTTTGTACCAACATACGTATCCTAAAGTCTTAACATATTAAAATGTAATAGGGTCCATTGATGGAAGTTATTAAATGAATAATTGCGATTTCAAGTGGTCCTTTTAAACTTAATTTCATGTAGATAAGGTAACTGTAAACATTTTAATTATTTCTATGAAGACTGAAGAAATACTAATTGGAAATTTGTTTGCCATGTTGATACACCGTTTTTTAAATAATTTTACTATGTTTCCTAAAAATGGCCATTTTAAATATTGTGGACATGTTTTCGAAAATTATATTTATAAGCTTTGAAATAAATTTCCCTCTTCATTCTTTCAAAAGTTGAGGTTCAAAATATTTTTACAATATGGATTTTCGTTTTCGTAAGCAACATGGTAAACCTATTAAAGTAAAAAATGTTGGAAACTGAATGATCCCAATATTTGTTAATATTCTGTTTTGCTAGTTTTTAGGGCGAAGGCACTGATCTGGATGGTATGTGATAGTTGTCTTCATTAATTTCTCGAATGTACTATAATGGAAATTTTTTTCTAAATAAAGAATTTGTGTTCGTTCTTTCCTACAAATAAAATTTTCAAGCTTTTCAACTTCATAATTGAGCTTAAATGTTAAAACCTTAACAAATGAATGAATGAAATGAATGCGCTCTAATGGATACTTTCTCTTGGAGCAAAGAATATGCATTTCATGATTCAATTTAACACTACGGTGTCATCAATTAAATGAAAACGTTTGTGTACGTGCTGTAATTACACTAAAACTATGGTCGATTCATTATCATTTGATAATATTCTCTCTTTTAAATTGCCATATTGTTTTAAATACTATAGAAATTTATTTGCATAAATTGTGGAACCGAATTACTTATGAAAATAAAATAGAGTAACATACTAACTTGTGTAGAAATTGCATATTTAAACAGTTTGCATAAGTAAATGGATTGCAAGGTTTCCGAAACCCTTAGAGTCTGAGTTATATAAGGTACTTGTTCTTTAAATATTCCAAATATTCCGGCGAGTTAACACCAGACGCGGCAGAGGTAGTGTGTAAATTTCTTTCAACAGCTTGCAGGTTCATTCGAGCCTTCTGTAGCAGCAGACTAGTAGCCGATATAGGATTATGTGCTTTAGTGCTTGTGTAGTCCCTTGATGGGGTTCGATCTGTATATGCTGAACAAAAGCAGAAAATCATTTAAGTTTCCAAAAATTTTTCGAGAAATGCTATTTCGTGAAAACTCACTATCTTTTGAGCCAGCGTAGGTATTCGGACGAATGATTGGTCCACTGTTGCGTTGCTTACTAGCAGATCCATCGTGCATATCGAAGTCGTTTTTCTTTACAGCATTTGATTTTGATTTGACTACTTTTGCCTTGCTACAAGGCACATCCATTGAGCTGTCAGATGCACAAGAAGATTCAGTGGTGCTGTTGTAGAGAGAATTATGCATCTATGTTAGTATAACAAAAATTTACAATTGGAAAATTCACAATCTATCACCCCTTACCTTTCAACGTATTTACTTTTTCTAGCCGACGCATACCTATGAGTTAAGTGCCTGCTGGATCGGCGTTTTTGAAGACTTTGAGATAACAACTTTTCGGCAAGTCGATGTTCTGCACGAGCATCATCTTCCAGAACTTGCTTTTCTATCAAAATTCGATTTCTTTCGGCTTCCAAGTCGTGAATTCTTCGTCGAAGGCGTTCACGCGTAGGCGAAGAATCAACATTCTTTAAAGTAGATTTAAAATTTTCACTAGTTATTCGTTTGGTGTTTTACAAACATATTTCCATTAGGTTGGTTCAGCGACTAGAGTCATTAACCGCGAACCCACTCCTAATCTAGATCTTTCAACGGTGTTTACAGTTTAACTAAAATGACTAGTGCGTTCTATTTCTTTCTCTAATCTAAAGAGATGTAATCAAAATTTTCAATGATTAATAAACTTATAACGGCACAGATCTTTCTAAAGGCCAAAATATGACAATCTCTTTTCTCCCAATGAGTTGTTTAAAGTTTAATGATCAAGAGTAAACATAGTGAACTGGAATTTAAACTGAGAAAATCGTAGGCGGTTAATAATTTGAATGAGTATGTCAGGTGGATAAGCCCATCTAAAAGAAGGAATTGCCACTGGAAATCCATAATCGATATTCAGAATTTATTTTTACACAATGGAGGAATGCATCGATGTAAGCATCCCATTAGACTCAAAATATCATTTCAAATTCGTTAAGCTATTTAAATGATCGGATTAGAGGCTACTCCATCCAATTATGATACTAGACGTACATGTAACTCCTTGCGACGACAGCATTTTTTCTTGGATGAATTCCCCTTCGTTCCTTTCCTCATTTCCGTCTCAGAGGTATCACTTGTTTGCACCACTCTTACGCATTCACAAGACGATTTATTCCTTTTCTGAAAGACGAGCGGTACTCTAATACTAATAGGAAATTTAGGTAAACAGAAATCAATAAATAACTTTCTTCATCGGCGAAGTCGTGCTTTATTTCAACATAGCCATCTTAGTTCTTACTTTTAAACTTTGCATCAATTAAATCATATTTGCCCGATTGAAAAATGTCAAAAGATTCAATTCAATTTTTTTACATCGCTTGTATTCATTTAGTTAATTCTTAGGCTACGCGCTATGTTGCCTATTGGCCTATAAAAGTATGCGGAGGGCCCGATAATACCATGGCTGAACAAAGAAATCTCACGCGTACTCGGACAAAATTCAAGGTTAGGCCTTGTTACTTGTCACGTGGGAAGCAAATGTGGCCGTGAGGGTAGCGACCCATCAGACAACCACCAATCAGTAAACGGTGCATGGAGTGTGCGATGGACTTACCTCCGCGTGGTGCACACTGGACAACGTAAACTCATACGGCAAAAAAGTCTATTGACTGGCAGTTGACTTATGGCTTCAAACTACCATGACCCCACTGTATGTCATATTCCACCACTTCTAAAGTACTCCTCTTACCTTTTCGCTGCCTTTGTGTCTGCCTGACTGTCTGTCTCTCACAACTGTGAACCGTTATTCTGTCCTCCTCTCGACTTTTTTTCAACTTTAATGTTCCTCCTCCTCTCTGTGAAGCCCGAAGTCAGCTAAATTGATGTTCCTCCTCTCTGTGAAGCCCGAAGTCAGCTAAAGGGCTAACGATATCTATCAAGATGCCTGCCATTTAAAATAAATAAATAATCGGTGCATAGCCAGGCAAACACTTAATTGCGTTCTAATGAATACGTTCGGCGTAGCACACTTACCAAATAAACATGTTCCTCGTCATGCGTCTATTTCCTGAATATCGTTGAGGTAGCTTAGCAAATTTCTGGAGGCATTCCATAACACGAGATTTCGTCATAGGGATTACCGAGGCTTACCAGGAAGTCAATTATTTATCACCTATTTCAGGTTCACATAAATTAGGCTAGCTAGTTAATTTAAAAAACCGTTTTTTGAGAGCTATGAGTGGTCTTTTTTCTTCTTAAATGAATCTGAGCAAATGTAGGTTCAATAAAGGACGATTGATGAGTTATAAAACGTAATAATACTACCGCGCCACACAATATGGAAATTCCTTGCCTAAAAACTGATGAAAGGCGAATAAAAGAAGTGTCAGCTAAGGGCTTAGGTATCGCAACACTGTCGAGTTGAGGACGAATTTGGTTGGACCTGAAAAGACGTGCCATGCGGTTGTGTCATCATTTCCCACATCCATGTTCCAATTCCCACGTTCTATTTCACTTCAACTCCACCCCACCCCCCTCCCCCTTAGCTACCTTAGAAGACCAATGATCCCAGTCAGATGTGTTGGTGTTTCTTTTTTCATGTTCTGCCATCTCCAAATGTGAACATTATTTTTGATTGTTTCATGCTTCGTAATTCGAGCTAGTAGATTCCCTCTCAGACATCTTCATTCGGATTCTCCGCACCTTTGTTGAATTATAACTCCATACTCTACAGGATCTTGGCCAAATAATGCTTAGCACTTATCTATGGCAAAAGGTTTGTCTTGCTAAATGACTATCTCTAATTGAATACAGACCGTCATTTGATTGAATTTCCTCCGAAGGATCTCATTTTCTTCACGTAATTGTTCCAGTTCAGCGGATTCACAGTAACGAGCATTCCTCATTGAATTCTGTCCACTTGGGTACGAATTTATACAATTCTAAAAGTAACAAAACGGGACAGTAGCCTTTTAAAGATGGTGTACGACAGAATTTGATAAATGATCTCACTTGGTTATCCTCAAAGTGATTTTGGGGTGCTCCGACCCTAAGGCCAAATGAGATGGTGGTAGTAAATTAGTCTATTCCAAATTTAAAAATCATGAAAGTGCATTAAAGAGAACAGCAAATCAAACGATAACTTACTTTCCCACGAAAGGAAAATGACGCCCTCTTGTGGCCTATTGTGATAAAACATCAATTTATTAAGCAGATGGACATTGGCTAATTAATTAAATAAAAAACTGATTTGTTCAAATAGACTAGAATGGACTTCTGAAATTCAATTTTAATTAATTACCCAAAATGCGGTGTTGAGAAAGTTCACACGATCAACATGATACCTTTTAAAAACGAAAACTCGTTTGATCTTTGTAACGCTTCCCATGACAGTCAATCGTTAAAAGTTGTTTAAATGAGAGATTTTCTAGTTGACCTTTGTGGGCTATATTGCGGGGTAATCCCCTTAATCTCCAATTAAATCACCTTAGTACGCGTGGGTTTAATAACAATTAAGTAGCGAAAACTCATACTTTGTACTTATATTCAAGGTAATCGGAATGATTCTTGAAATGGCACAATCTAAGTTACGTACATGTTCAAATGATCCAGTAGGAGAGAATTTCTTCGTAAACTCAACTCCAGCGGGTGTCGGCAAAGGATTGTTTATAAAAATATTGTGATCTGTCATTGTTCCTACACTTTCCTATAAAGGCGAAATAAGAATACTTATCAGCAATCAGACCCATTTAAAGCCTAAAATAAACTAACAGTGAATATATTTTGAACTTCTCTATCGACTGTCACTCGAATGCTTTCAGAACTTTGGGGTTTAGACAGCTGTGCATTGGATGTTTCGGTGTCTTTGAGTTGGAGGATTCTTTCTACGAGATATTCCTCGATGTACCGACTGTGATCGAAATCAGGTGGAAACGCGATCTTCTCTAAAAGGCTCTCATTCCGTTGAAAATTTGTTTCTTCAACGGAATTCAATTCCGGAAGGAAGCTCGTAATTTCAGCCAGAGTATTTTTAGCCGATTTCTAACCAAAATCAACATCTTTGCTAAATGCTGGATTAGATAGTCAAAATGCAATCTATGGGTAAACAAAATAGTATTTACCTGAACGGAATCCAAAACTCCCTGCAATTCCACCATCTTTGAGACCTCTTCAACGAGCAAGAACTTCGGATGACTATCGCCCGCATTGTAATATTTTCGAAATACACAATTCAAATGCGTATGCATTGCAAAGGTACTTTGTTCCAAAGATTTCAGACTAAAATTATGAATTTCATGAAATATCAATTAATTTAATACCTCTAAAGTTTAAAAAATTCTTTTTGTTTGAGAATTCCTGCAGCTATTACTTTAAAAAATTGAAATGGGTAAAGCATTGAACTGACGGCCATTGAAATCAGGTTACCAATATTTTAATTTTCACGCATGACCTACGATCACACGGAAATAATAAAAAAATTGTAAAATAATTAAATTAACTGAAACTTTCATGGAACAAGCATTGTCTTCAAACTTAAACACTCAGTTCTTCAACTCATTACAGTTTGAATATTCAGTTGTCATCTACCTCTACTAAACAGTGTATCAAATTTTTCGAAGCACTTACTGTTTAAATAGACAGACAATCCACTTGAACGCATCCTTTTCGTGTTTACGACTTTCCTCGATCTCGTGGGTCATTTGTTTCAGTTCATCATCGTCTTGACTCACTCGTCTCTCCAATTTCTTTACATTTTCGCGTTCTCTATTCACTATGGACGTCATATCTTGCAACTATGGAAGTAAATAGAATGAGGAAAAATGTATATAAAAAACATGATTGATCTTTAAAATTAGAATGCATATTCAGTGTGAATCGTTTCTTAAACTCGCCTTTTCTTCAAGTTGTTTCACGAGGTCTTCTTTCTTGTTAGCCGCGTTTTGAAGAGAATTCAACTTATCTTGCATTTCTTTCAACTTCTCCCTATTTATAGAAATAGGTTAGCGGTTTAAAGCACGTTGAAACCCACTCATATCCAGCATTGTTCTTGTCATTTAATATCTCAAGATCGCGATTAAGGTGCCTAAGACGATCATTCTAAAAGTTAGCTTAAGATTTAGCATTGAACTAACCTCTACAGATGAATGGTTAGAATAGCTGCTGATCTGTTCCAAAATGGTGTCCTGAAGGCGGAGGAGAGTGCTCTGAATTTCTTGCGTATCAAATTGCACTTTCGCTTTGGTATCAATAAGATCACTTCGGATACACGATAGCGCCATCTACAGGAGACATTCCCATATAAATGCAAAATTCACATTTCACACTACCTTGTCATTTGCCAGTTGACGGGAAGTTCGTGAATTATCAGCAGTGCATTGTATGCCCTCATCACACGTTATCTACTCAATTAGAAATTTGCAAAAGTTAGAAAGCAGTGCGTCGAATAAACATCGCTGATACCCCTCCCAATACACATGGGAATACTTCTCACTGCAAAGCAACGCGTGAGATTGAGTGGAAGGATGCACAAATTCCATCTTTTTCTCCTTTGTTTTTCAAAATCGAAAAGTAAAATATCGCACGGCTAATTACCACTTGATTCAGGATACAATGCAACCCACAGCAAATAGATAAATAACATCATATTTAGTTGCCCCCGAAAGCCCAAACTAACTAAAAGGCACTAATATGGAGTAATAAAAATTATTTCAATAATGGAGGTCCACTTTAGAACAACAAAACAACTAACCTAAATACATTCAATTAAAAAGTCTAGATAGTACAAGTATTTCTACACCCTATGAAAAACGGCTTTGGTTCCTATTTTACCTTGGCAGACATCTTTAAGCAGATACAACGTGCCTATTGGAGGAGCTAAGATCAGACATAAATGACAACTTTTAACCCAATAAACCCCAATTAACTTAAATAGTAATCAGTCAATTGTTTCTGAATTAACGGAAAGAAACTAAATTAAATACTGTCAATTATTTGATTGTTTTCCGTCATAAATTTAAATTCTAAAATTCTGATATCAAATTCCTCTTCTATTAGCGTAAAACTTAAAGATCTAGGTGACTGTAATTCAAACGCAGATAATTCAAATGGCAAAACAGGTAACATACCTTTGAATAACCCTGGAATTCGCCAATAGGTGACGATGATCTATCCAGTGTTATTTTGGTGTTTCTCTCCTTTAAACTGCGGATACTCTCATTGTATTCAACTTTCATCTAGGAAAAGAAAAAAACTTATTTTAATGAAAACATTGAAGAACAGACTTCGAAAATTTTTGGATATATTCACGAGAAGCCATAAGCTTGAGAAGAGGGTTACCACGTCAATTACTCTCCACATATACCTTTGCTTTCACAGCCTCTGACTCCTTCAGTTCCATCTTGATATTTTGAAGCTCTGCATCCATGTCTTGGCAAATTGAATGGATCCTTAACGGTCAAAAATGATAAGCCTTATTATTGTAAAGTTGAAAATTGTACATAGAGAATAGCTTAAACGTTGTACAAACCTAAACAATTCTTCGTCCTTTTCAGAAAGTTGGTTCTTCAAGGACTTATAGACTCCTTCCAGCCTTAGTCTTCGATTTTTCTCTTCGTCAAGTCTCTCTCTAAAGGTGAAATGGTAAATATTACATTCTAAAATTACATTTTTCATATAGGGATTCCTTAATCCTAAAGGAAATACACGGTGCAAATGAAACAATCATTTGTTAATTCAACAATTCAGTAAAATGGATAGCATAAGGTGATAAAAGCGAAAATTAGATATGGATGAGAAAGAACTCACCGAAGCTGTTCGAGTTTGAGAATCGGTTCAAATGCTTTTTGTGAAGAGCTACCTTCACGTTGGGCAAGGGGGGATGTGAGAAGCTGTTGACATGCGCCATTGAGCTCCATTTCTAGTGCACGATGTGATGATTCCTCACGTTCCAGGACTTTCAAGGACTCCACAAGTTGTTCTTGAAGAAATTCCATCTCTTTTGAATAATCTGAAAACAGAAGGAATCCGGACATGTCACATTAACCTTACATGTTTTAGTTCTGTTCAACATAAATTTCACTTAAGCATGATCAGAAAGATTGAGAGAGAGGAACTTTAAACATCTTAATTTCCTTTCAATTTATATCATGTCGGACGTATTAGAGTGCTATATAAGAATAGAAGCCGATTATAATCTCAAAGTAGATTTTAAATAACAGGGGGAAAATTTCAGATGAAAGAAGTATATAAAGAAGAGTCCTGGTAATGATAAGAAGCCATTCAACTAACATAATTTTAGACAAAATACAATTTCACCTCAAAGTGATAAGTTACGCGAAAGGAATTAAGGACAATATATTTAAATTATCAAAACCTCAACCTTTGAATTAAAATAGATCTTAAAAGGCTGCTGGAAAATTAGAAGTTCGCAGATGGGGGCATTTCTGTGGGACACGTTATCGTCCAACACGTGATCGCAAGCGCTCACAACCAATGGCCAATCAGAAACTTTCGTTTGTTTAAGTGGAACCTCCATTTTGATTATATCTAACCTTACGGCGTGTACACTATTGCCACAATATACTTCCTAAATAAACGGGTTCCGTGCGATATGTATGTTTCCTCTATAGCCGGACTGTAGGTTATCCAGTTCTGGGTGTCTAGCCACAGATTTCTGAGTCAGTCAAGGCTTTACTAGTGTAGAACTACCCTTATGCGCCCTTATTGATTGGTATTGTGCAACTTACGCATAGTTTGAACTATAATACTTACATGTTTTCAAATTATTTATTATTATATTACTGCATAAAATTTCGTCTTAATACAAATTTTATTTGGTATGCATGTACCAATTTTGTAATCGAAAAACAGTTACCATATATATCATAGAGTTAAGGTAGTGCCCAAATATTGGACAACGCCGTCCACCTCTCTAAGAGGAGTAAAAGGGCCCTAAAAAGGCGCGCCATTTCGAGGTTTCCATATACATCGCTAATCTTATTTGGTGTTGTGCCCACTTGTCACTGTTGACTCACATTAGTGTCTACTGCTATCAAGTATCTGCTCAATCATCAACTAATGGGACCGCCTTAAATGTTCCCATCGGGAAAAAAGTCTGCAAAGTGGAAATCTATCCCCTTTTTATTATTTACAATACCGGATGTTTGCTCTCGTGCAGTCGTTCCAGATTCAAGGCCGGTCACTTATCGAAAAGAAAGATTTTATTCCTCAACTATGACAAGTGAAAACTGGAAAAGAATGCAGAAAGTAAAGGAAATCAATCGAAACGTCTTGCAGATCTCTTTCTCTGTAATGTATCAAAATTTTCAAGCTATGCCACTTAATCCACCTCGTATTCTCGCTACGATCATGAAATAAATACACTTAATGTATTCATCCATTTGCATCATCACGAATTCTCTCTCCGTAGATTGGGCGAGTAGATCAAAGATTGGCATAAATGCGCCGGATAAATAGATAGCTAGGGAGCCAGAGATGTGTTAGATATCAAATCAAAACCAAAAGATAAAAGTAGGGGAAAATGGTGAACACGGATGTTTAGGCTCCTTTATCTAGCTGATGAGATGACCATTATGCCTGGAACAACTAGCAGGAAGAATACGCGTTAAATAAGCCATGACAACCACAACAAGGTGAGAACATTTGAGAAATAACTCGTTCTATCAAAATCAGAGCTAAAGATATATCGGACTGCACTGTTATTTGCCATTCAATACAGACCTGGATAACTGACACAATCGTGTAGAGCAATATGAAAGCGAGTTATTTCTCAATAAAACACCTCGACGTTTCATTTGTTATCCATAAGTTTGATTTAATGGTATAGCCAACTGCTGTGTTAAAGAGGCAAGAAAGTGATTGGTGTTTAATTTTCAGTTACAGTACAGAAAAAAAGAATTAATGGTGTTGATGGTTGGATGGGTTGAAAGTTATACAACTGACTAATTTTTCTTTTATCAATAAGTTACCATCGAGAGCTTAACTTACCAATACTATCCGATGCCCTCATAGTGGTTTCGTGGGATTTAGAAACTTGAGGTGACACCGGTTGCTCAATACTGCAGGAAGTAAAAGAAATTTGAATGGTACGGCAATGGGGTTAATTAGCAGATAGCACAATTTTAGAAAGTACTTGTTTTGGTTTTGAGAAAGAGCTTCCACCTTAGAAGCATCGGTTGGAAATGGAAGGAACATCGTTCTTTGATATTTTGCCGAGGTAGGTAACTAAATATATAGAATACAGCTCTTTTTTAAATCTTCTCAGATACAAAAGGGAAAAGTTAGTAAAATCAACCTTGTCTACGTTTTCTTCACTTTCGATGCTCAAACTTGGAGTTGAGTAGGCTTCGCCTGATTTCAAACTGTTCGATTTCCGACTCTGATTCGATAAAGGGTTTTTAGTATTCTCTGAAATTCTACATTTTGTTTGAGAGAAATCAGAAATTGATGACGCTACACCCTAGAGGAGGAAACAAATGAAGAAAAATGAGATTTTCCTAATTATTTAATTGACAAATTCACCAACAAGGCAACCCAACCTTAATATTCCTCAAATTTTCCTGATTTTTGATGTGATTATTTTGAGCACCCGTGGAGATGTTGTTGAGAACTTCATCGCTGCATTCATTGATGATAGAAGGATCGCAATTTGAATCTCGATGTGGTATATCATCAAGAATAAGTGATGAGTTCTGAAAAAAACTCAGTGATATTAGTTTTTTAGCTATATAAGCGATTTTGGTCGCAAAAGGGTAATAAATTTTTTATTTGTCTCAAAAGCGTTGAATATTATGGTTCTAAATAAATTGAAAAATATTTAATTATTATTAATAAATAATAATGGAATATATGTTACTCTTTCTCATACTCTACCTTAAATGAAAAAAATCAATATTCAATTTAATCTTTCGTCAGTATAAGTTATATTTGCGGAAGAGCGAAACATAAGATGAACAAAAAATTCTTACTTTTATACGAGAGTGAAAAGGTTTAGGGGAACTAGCAGATAAGTGATCCTGAGCTATCACTTTCAAAGCTTTGGCAGCATCCTCCAGCAAGGAGAAATTCGGGCCAGATGTTTCACTGATTTGGGTTATTGATGTGACGGATATTTCATTAGCCTCTTTCTCCTCTTTACTGTCATCAACTTCACTGTCCCAAAGGCTATCTTGTAAATGTTCGTTTACTAATAAACAATTGAGTAGTACATATTATTTAATGTTACCAGTTGGCTTGCTGCTAATTTCGGGTTGGTCATCTTCTTCGGTTGAGCCCCACGCACTCTCGCAATCTGATTCTCCACTGTTTTCAACGTTGTACTTCGATTCTTCTTCTACGAACATTACGGACGACTAGAAAAAATATGAAAGAAAAAAAGTAAACATATTCCAATGCAGGTACGTTGAAATGAATTTGTTCATCGTTGGTAAGTAGAAACATGGCATATGGAACAAGCTGCTTAGCAAAATAACCTATATGGCAATTATCTCCGCATATTTCATGCAAGAACACAATGGGACCAAAAGTGTGTTGATGAGAAATGTCTCCATTTTGTGTGATTAAATATCAGGAAATTGGGGACATCCCCTGTGGATAACAATGAAGATACCTTAACCAAAGTACTATTGACCCAAAAATATAGTCCAAGGCACTCTAGAAATACTGAATCAATTCCTAATTAGTAATTAAAGAAGGGTGGCATAAATAAAATTACAAAGTATATGATTTCAAAATTTTGAAATAAGCTAAGAACATGTAGTTAGAAGACTGGAATGCCGGTCCGATTGGGCTTTTGAAATGCTGCACAACGTTGAGGGTATTAAATGGTTTGTTATTGTTGACAAATAATAGACGCAGACACCGTCACATGCACTCGCTTCTCGTCTACCTAATTGCACGCTTCTCACCAGCTCCATTCAACTCATCTCCTGCTCTCATATACCGTTGAAACCCATCATTAATTTTAAGCATGCTAATCTGTTTCAAATAGAAAGTTTAAACAAATAAAAAGTGCTTGAATGCCCAAAACTCGCGTTATTATTCCGGCAGGGCTGAATTTGTTTCACCGATCCCATATTATTCGAGTTCTTTACTTCTGGCACCTCGGCATTCAAAGTACCAAATGGACTCTTAAAAAAGAAACAAATTAGGATAAGTATAAAATTGAATTACTTCGGAGTCTCCATCATTAGTCACACTTTCCACTACATGATTTGGTTGTGGAAGCACCTTCAAATCATTTTCGATTTTTTCCTTAATAGGGGCACATTTTTGTTAGAACAAACAAATATACTACCGATAAAAAAATTGATCGAACATACCTTCAGGTGAGCCACGCGATCCTTCCTCTTTCTTCCCACAGTTCCGCTGTCGAAGGTGTTGTCTGGCTTTTTATAACCCTGTAAATTAGTGTGAGTCAAAATGTTTTTTTTTGTTTTGTGGTTTGGAAGTTAAAACAAACCTTTGTGCGGGGTGTATTTGGTAGCCTGACCCTTTTATTATCATTTTCCCGATCCATTGATGTGGTGGAAGATCTCATCAGCACATTCACTTTATTAGCTATAGAGGGGAAACAAGACGATACATCTACTGAGCAATCCCTATCAATAAATAGTAAAATAATAAAAATGTCACTCACAAGGTCGTCTTGTATCGGAAACATCACACGAATGAGCTCGTTTTGAAGTCATGGTAGAAGTGTCATTTCGAACGGTTTTGTCACTAATTTCCCCATCACTGCGCTCATCATCTCTTCCCACTAAAACGACGACCTCTTTTCTATTCAACGAGTCCATTTTGCGCTTTCGACTGCGTTCAATTCCCACTTTCTGATTGTGTGATGATGCGGGGGACGAATTGTGAGCCAGACTTTGATCAATTAGCACCTCGTAGCAATGGAAATTCTGCGCCAACTTAGCGATTTGAGCTGCAGTTAATCCTGCAAGAGGTTATAACTAAGTGAACACAATTATACAGCTCAAGTAACTGAGCAAAAGCTATAAAGTACATAAACTCGCATTTCAGACACGTGTTGTAACCCTGATCTGACCTTTCCACTTACACTTTCACTGATCTCAAAAAGGCGTTTGCTTCTACTTGCACATTTCTCTAACTTGGCAAAGTTTCTTAAGCTCTGTTCCAGTTAGAATTCGTTGCATCTACTATTATGCGTAGTTCACAATACGTAGTTGTCAAAATGAACAAAAAATGCCTTGTGAGCAAACAATGGGAGGGGGGGGGCTATTAGAACATCTAGCAGATATCAAATGATTAAGTTAAATTCACAGTACCCTGACAATCTATTGAAATGTTCCAATAGCGATAGCATCACAAGCTTATGTAAAGCCAGTGTGTAGTTGAGTTATCTCTGAAATCTGCAGAAATGAATTGACATTCAGTGAGCCCTAAGTTTTATTATGATTATGTGGAGCTAAACTGCACTTCAAATAGTCAATTTTTTGCCCGCCTTCAATAGCAAGAACATAGCACGGTTGAATGACCAAGAAGTAGCCCAGTGAATATATAATAACGCCTAATCGAACATTTCCTTCACCTCGTGAGCAAATTTCGTGGCCTTTATAACTCGTGCACTCGATTAACGGTCTGCGTATTTGGATATGAAATTTCCCATCTTTGTGTTTGTTCACCTAAAGGAATGTTTTTTTTTCATCCCGTAACAGTGATGAAATACCAATATAGAAGTGGTAGCACTGAGGTGCAATGTTTTAGCTTATTATGATTTCTTTTGACTATTCATTTTCTACGAAGCCTTCGATGATTTAAAGAGCAAAAGAATTTTGCATTGCCAACGATAGATACGAGAATTGAGATTAGAACGACAGCGATGCATTATCAATCCTATTTATCCCAAGTTGTGGGGAGCACAATGAACTTACCTCCACATGGTGCATCCTGGGCAAAGCATACTCATACGACAAAAAAGTCAATCAACCGGTAGTTGACCTCTGACTTCACACTACCATGACCCGACAGTATGTCATTTTCTACCACTTTCACAGTACTCATCTTACCATTTTCTCCATCTATGTTTCTACCTCTTTTGCGTTTTGTGAATCACTTTTTTGTCCCCCCCCTCTCCCTTGACCTATCGACCTTTTGCGACTTTGATGTTCCTCCCCTAGGTGAAGCCCGAAGTCAACTAAGGCGCTAATGACAGCTATCATAAAGACTGCCATTTGATATAAATGCATTTAAGTTAAGTACACATACTAATTTTTAATCAGTTATTTGTTTAAACGATAACTTCCACTTATATGACTGAACAACCTCAGTTGAAATACGTTCAAAATGTGTCCAATTGAGCCTAAATTTTCATGAAAAATTAGTATCGATACTCGAATGATAAGATGTAATAATCAGCGATTAATTAAATTACCGACAAATTATAATTTTCTACGAGAACCCACATTAAATGCGGAGTGAATGTTCTTTTAAGTACGAAACTCAAAAATAAGCACTTGACTTTTAAAATTGAAAACTCTCATTATTCTTCATTGATTTTAGCGCATTTAAGTAAATCATAATTTTCATTTCAACGATAAACCCTTCCTTGTGAATTGAGTTTTCCAAAATGTTTCTGTCATTCCTTTCTCCAGATTAATAAAGTTACCATCTCAACTTAGTTCAGCGTGCTAAATTCGAACACGTTAGTTATTTAACTGGGAACATATCAATATGCTTCTTTTAGTTCACTTAATGCATTAGCCTATTTAATCATTGAAAATAAAAATAGATCCACGTTCGGAATTTGAATATTCGTTGGCCAATTGAGGGTTTAGTCATGCCACCTTGATCCACTTTTACTTACAAAGCACTCAAGAGTGTTCAAAAGTGACCCGAATAAATAATTTTGGAAATAATCAGTATTTCTATGAATCTTCTAATTTGGGCATATAAGACAATCGATATATTTTTTTAAGTATGTCAAGGTCGTCTAGTGAAGAAATACTGCTAATATTGCATGATCGGAAACGAAAAAAATTTTGGTTTCTCGTCAGCTTGAGTAACGCCATGGGAATTAGACCATTTATGCAAGTGTGACCTCGAGTCGCACCACTGATACATGAATATTCGCAAATGCGCCATCAGATTACCATAGCAGCGCTCAGATATGTATATATATATGATCTCCAGAAATGATCCTCACACCAACGTACTACACATGGATATGAGAGGGAAAACCTCAAAGTGAATACATTAAGGAAAATTCAAGACGTGAATTCATTAAACTCAACATTTTTAAATTAACAAAAAACTCAAAGGCTTCTAACTATTGAAAAACAAATTGAAAATGAGAGTGAAATACAAATGGATTAAAATCTGTCACCAATAATGGTTATATGTCCTATTGGGACAATATTCGGCATTAGCGACACATAAAACACCAGTTCCGCTGTAATTATAACTTCTATTTCAAATGGACAAGACCTGCGTTAGAGTAGGTAAATGTAGAGATTATGAAGGACAAGTCTCCCAACGCTATGCTTGCATACCAGTACCTCTATCTCCAATAAAAGTAGCCCTGATTTGTTGTATTATTCGCCCTGAGTGAGCTCTTCTGTACGGAGATCATGCGGCATTATGACAGGAGTAAGAATGCAGATGAATTGATCCAGTGATCATTATAGATTGGAGCAGTAAAAAGTGAAGTAACAAGGGTACATTTTAACAAGGAGTACGATTTTACAACCCAAATGCAATATCCTATAAGTTGAGTACAAAGATACAACTATCTAGAATTCGGTTGATACTGTGACCTTAATTCCTGCTTCTACTACACTATTCACAATACCTATCGGCTTGCTTTATTGCTCTACAATTTCTAGTTGAAAAGAGTCACAACAATAACAAAAAATCATGCGCTCTTTTCATAGCTATGAATAAAGCTAACAAAAATAGAAAAAAAATATAAAAATGAATAAATAATAATTGTGGAACAAATAAGAAGTAATGATTTCTATGCAAAAGACAGGAAATAAAATTAAAAGAAAAATTTGTCTGCGAAGATATTATGATATGTCTCTCAATCAATCGATACTCTTCTCAATCGAAACCCCAAGCAATGGGATCAAAATATCAAAAGAAAGTGAATCCAAAAAATGAACAAACCTTCTTTATCACGAAGTTCAATAATTGCCCCGGAGTCGATCAAAAGCCGCATATGATGAGCGCTTCCGATTTTAGCGGCAATCATTAATGGACTTCTATATAAAGCAAAAAATATAGCTAGAACCTCAATCTAATTGATTTTCTATGAGGTATAGCAGAGGGGTGTACCTTCCTTTTCCATCAACACAATTTATGTCAGCTCCTTCGCTAATTAGATACTTGGACAACGACATACTGTTCTTTTCTACAGCGATATGCAGTGGAGTTACCCCCATCTAAAATTGGATATTCGTTAGACAGTGGAATTTAAGCATAATATATTCGTCAACTTACATTATTACACGCATTACTATTAGCGTTATTACGATGAAGTAATTGGATAATATCCAAACGACCTAGTTGTATAGCTCGGTGAATAGGTGCATTGCCATATTTATCACAAATGTTAACATCAGCACCATGTTGAACTAATTGATTAATGCAACCTAGATGTCCAAATCGTATGGCTTTCATAAGTGGAGTTTCACCATTGACATCAACAGCATTTATATTTGCGGTATTATCCAAAAGACGTTTAACGATTTCCAAATTTCCTTTCATGCAAGCCAAATGAAGAGGAATTCTAAAAAATAAAATGCTCAAGAAATAAACCTTAAATTTTTATCTGGAAGCACTTGGTCATTCGTTATAAGCTTCTCAAATGCAGTCATATCACCATTCCATATAGATTTTCCGATTTTAGTTAAATCATTTTCTCGAATATTAGAAGCATTCGAATCGCATAAATAAAAATCTTCACAAATTTTAAAATCTGAATCTTTATTAAGGCGTTCTAGGGACAAGCTGCTGAATCTTTTAAGAAATTTTTTCATGTTTACAATGAAAACACAAAATAGAAAAAATTCGCGCGCGTAATACCGACCTTGAATAACACTTTGCTTCATAAAATAAATTATTCTTAATGGCGGTGTATTAATTAATTTTTTAACTATAAATTCAAATTTTCCTTTAATTAAATCTTATTGGTAACATAATTACTATCATTCGAAGTTTTAACATTAATTTTTATTTAGATATTTCTGAATTTAAGCATTTATAAATCAGTTTCTGTAATCCTGTGCCTTATTTTATGGTTTTAACACGTTGTCCACTAAGAAGATTTTAATCCCGATAAATGACGGGTTGCGGTACATTAAAAATTTTTCAGTTTACTGATTCCAATCGATTGGCCTCTAAATGCCATGTATTATTCTGAGAAATTGAGCTCATTGACTACTCACTCACTCACTAAATTATTAACTACACAATTATTTTCATGAACTAAACCGTGAAAACTTTCACGTCTCCGTTTCAACAAACGCAAATAATTAATTTAAATTTGCCATAATAGTTTATAAATTGATTAGATTAATAAGATATTATTCACTAGAGCCGTTAATCAAAAAACATGAAATAAATGCTCAGTAAAGTACTAGATTCTATGTACGCAAGTTCATTTAAGCATTCAATGCTCCGAATCTATCTATTCCCTAACTCTATAAAGCTATATTCCAATAAAACTCTATAACTGACAATTTTACACCCTTAACCACCAGCTAACACAAAATAGCACTTTTTTATTTTTTATTATTAAAAAATACAATTCTTAAATCTATGGGAAGAATAAAATAACGCCGCCGCGTGTACTACGACTTTGTTCATTTTGGCTGTCAAGTAATTTGCTTGGAAAATAGCATAATTTTTGTCAAAATACCTTCGTGTATTCTTGCCTTGTAATTATGCTCCGTCATTTTATCACGCTTGTTATACTAGATCACTATTAAATGTTACAATATATTATTCGTTATTGTGAAACTCATAGCTCTATATTAATAAAATGGTTTCCGATTTGGTAAAATATTAGAGGTTTCCGCTCTTGGTAATTGTCAGGCAAAATGCTATGCCATCATGGCAATGTCAGCAATGGCGTACTACTCTGTTAAATTAAGCGTGAGTGCAACTGGAAAGGGTTTAAATCCAAATGTTAGAAATTGCAGGTTATTGGATAAATCTATTTATTTAAAAGTGGGTGAAATACTATAACGCAAGGCAAAGCAAGAGAAAACAAGCTAGCCTTATAGCTATTAGGTCTCCTTACATATACATCAAGGGAGAGGGCGTGGCGTTGAAATCAACGGAAACCGATTAGTTTAGAATAAAAGTTCCTTAAATATCCTAGAGTGCTTCTTTCTTACTATTGAACCAGAATATTTGGGACGATACGAAATTCAACTGGCTAAATTCGATTCCCGAGTTGCGTTCGTGAAGTTAAGGGCATTTGGCGCATTCATTGGCATAGAATCTCGTGAATGATTTTTCCATATAGCCTTAACTTCAGGCGGTCAAGCACATATATTAGCTATGTTGTGCTAAATATTTTAAAACTTATTAGATTCCTCAATGTTTGGCCATTATTCTAGAATTGCAGGTAGTTTAAACACTCCTAAGTCATAATAAGAAGAAATATGAGTTGATTATGACTTTTTCATCAAGAAGTCCTCTAATATGTTTAAAATAATGCCAATGTTATTAGCGAGAGAAACACAATCAAATACGAATGTGGATTAGTTGATAGGAGTGTATTAATGGGTGAAGTTAGACTTACTTTGTGTCAATGTGACAAACACATTTTAAATGAAGGAAATTGTAATTTCATGAAAAGCGCATAATTTTTTAAACTTGTGAAATCAAAATAACGCTGGCAAGCTTCTCTTGTCTATTTTTTTAACAGCTTACAGTTTTACTTTAACAGTATTCGAACTTTGAGTATTAACTTTTACTAAAAGCTCTGTTCATGGGGTCATTTTAAGGAATTTGTTTTTCCTTTTCTGTCTTTCTTGGTTACTGTTGTATGAAAGCGGAATATCACGTTGCCACTTAAAAATGGACGGAAAAATAGGCAAAGGTGATATCTGATAAAGCACTCATTTGCCGATAAGTAATTAAGCCAATCGATTTTTTTTTTACTTTAAGGAATTAAACTAGAGCGAAGTCTCATGGAGTAACAGAAACTGAGGTCAGCCGAATCCAATCTTCTAACTTTAGTTAAAATGCAGAAGTGTTGGAGATAATCGCGGGAGCTTGAAACAAAGAGGGGGGGGGGCGACTATCGTATTGGTAAATAACTGATAAACGCGTGAGTGGTAATACATGACCGTTCATACGAATCACTTGGGGGGGGGGGAGGGGGGGGGAAGCGTAAAGGTCATTGTGTAGTGTACTTTCCAATGAGCCAGGCAGGGCAAATAATGTGTTTAAATGTCAATTTTGTTGGCCTAAGGTGCTTGAATTGATGTGATCTCTAAAAAATAAAGAGACAGAGATGAAAGGCTTCAACTACCGCAGTCACCGAGGTTGGGGGAGAAAATAAATGCCCATTTCATGAAAGGTGAGGGAATCTCTGTGGCTCGAACGTCACACTGTACCCCTCCAAACCTAACATCTTCAAGATAAAGTAAAATCTAGTTTCTATGGGAGAACAATTTTCAAGTCAACTGCGACCAGTGGTATTGATATTCACAAGTGGAGATTTGAGGTCTTTTGCAATTCCATGATCTCGAATTTCACGGCGCAGCTTCAAGTTGTCAGACATAGAATATTTCTGATGTATGAGGAATGGGCCGTTACATCAATCTCATCTTCTTTTTTAATATATTAGGTTGGCAACTAAGTCATTGCCGATTTCAAATAAGAAGGCAAATTCGGAATTTTTGTTTAAAAATATAACTTTATTCAATTAGATATTGGCCGTTCTTGTCGATGACCTTTTTCCATCGTTCTGGCAGA